GCACCTAAAAAAGGCAAAACCATGTTTGACTGAGTTACACAGCTACCAGCTGTATTTTATTATGTACTACAAGCAGTGCCGGATTTATGTTTTTTATGAGTGTAGGCTACTTTATTTCCGCCGCCCTAAGTACAAACTTACATACCTACCTTTCTAAAATAATAATTTTCCATTTTTAGTAAAGAACGCTTTACAGTTAAATAAAATTATACCTAGTCATTAAGAAGGAGCGTAATGAAATAAAAATCAAGATATACATTTTTTTACGGGCCTTTTTAATAGCAAAATCATTAATAATATCATCATAGTTTATGGTGTTCATTATCTCGGCTTCTATGTAGAGAAGAGCTAGAGAATTCATTTTTTCTTGAAACAATGAAGACCTTTGATAATTTTTTACTTGTTTACTATTTTTTACTTGTAGTCTACAAGTACAATGCCAACAGCTACCAGCTGTATGTACTACTTAGGTAAAGAAAGTTTTACTGAAACTAATTGTATTGAACACACAGCCAGCGGCAGTGAGTCATGTAAGAGCAGGATTATTTTGTAACAACGCTGTACTCTGCATGACATCTCCATGGTGATCTCACTCCAGCGGAGTGCCTGTATGACACGTACCACGTATCATTAAAGACAGGAACGATCTCCGGGTTACTTATCTTGTAAGTAGGGAAAAAACTTGCCTGGCAGTTCTATGACGGGTATTTCATCACTTTCTGCCTCGGACGACGATACTGGCGATGGCGACGGTGAACGATTTTCACTCATCTTGTGTTTAGTTTTCTTTAATTTCTTCTTTAACTTTTTAATTTTTCTTTCACATCTATCTTCTTTGCTCTCATACTTCCTTTTCGGCATTTTTAACGGTAAAAATAGAAATTGTTTTAAGAAAAGTTTTTATTCGTTATGCACACTCGGCGCGAAAAAATATGAATGACTTACAGATATAGTTTGACAGCTGACGGCGTGTTTTCTGTTTGGATACGAAGCTTTTTGCTTCCTCTAAATATTCGCGGCACACACAATGCGTGGATTGTGAAACTACATAGTGAATATAGAAGATATCTCGGACTAAGCTCAAGTATAATGAAAATATATTAGACACACGATCTCCTCAATCCCTGAATCCCCAACAATTCTTGAATTCTTAATCCCCAATAGGCCGGTAACGCACTTGTAACGCCTCTGGTGTTCCAGGTGTCGATGGGCGACGTCGATTGCTTACCATCAGGTGATCCGTCTACTCGTTTCCGGACTTATCCCATAAAATGAAATATTTTTTTTATTTATTTAATGTTACGGTCTACTACCATTACAGTCTTAGAAATACTTAAAATATATTTCAGTATTTACTTATTATCTAATTAAACTAACTACTTCTGCGCGGTTTCACACGCTCTGCTCAGCTCGTATTGGTCGTAGCATGATGTTTTATAGCCTATAGCCATCCTCCATAAATGCGCTATCCAACACAAAAAGAATTATTCAAATCAGATTTGTAGTTACGGAGATTAGCGCGTTCAAACAAAGAAACAACTAACGCTTCCGCGATTGTTTTCTTATACGACAAAATAAAAAATACGTACGTACACTAAGAGCCTCTTCTCACACGGAGAAGGTTTGAGCATTAACCACCACGCTTGCTCAATGCGGGTTGGCGATTACAAATGTATAATTAGAAATTATAAGTCCAGGTTTCCTCACGATGTTTTCATTCACCGTTTGTCAGTGGTGTCTAGATAATCTTCGAAAGTACATATAACTCGGAATAAGTCACATTGGTACTTGCCGTTGGTAGGTTTCGAGCCCGCGCCCTCATGCATGAGAAGCGAGCGTCATAAACGTCTGAGCCACCACGACATTAACTGAAAATTACGTGTCTAATATTTTTTCATTGTCTAACTGACGGACTAATTAGATTTTTAATGTTCATACCCTGTCATCATCCCTATTTATTTATATGATCCAGGTACAGTACCGGGTCTGGGTGTGATGTGTATGTGAACAATCCTACTGTTATTTTATAAAAACAAATAAGTGTGGGAGAGCCATGCTTCGCCACGACCGGAGTGATACCACGGCCGAGCAGAAAACCGACGTGAAGCAACGCTTGCGTAGTGTTTCGTCGTGTGAGTGAGGTTACCGGAGGCCCAATTACCCTCGCCTTCCCCAATCTCCCCAATCCCTGAATCCCCAACGATCTTCAAACTCCTAATCCCCATAAGGCCGGTAACCCACTTGTAACGCCTCTGGTGTTCCAGGTGTCCATGGTGACGCCGATTGCTTACCATCAGGTGATCCGTCTGCTCGTTTACCGGCTTATGTTATAAAAAAGCATAAATTCACACAACAATGTACTTTGAATACAGTAGTAGTTAAATATATTTTTATTTTAATACGATTAGTTATAAGATGTCTATGGAGCTAAAATAAATAATTTCTTAATACCAAATTGTTTTATTCACTTTTCTTATCTAATTTGGGAGCGAAGAAATGGAGCTACTGGCGTTTGTCTATTGGTAAGCGATGACGCGGTCTACGATGGAGCACGTCGTCCCATAAGCAACCTATATATTCTTCCTAGTACAGGCATTAAACCTAGTGTGATCTCTGATTTTAAATTAAGATGTTTATCTGTAATATGACCAATTTCTTATAATGAATAAAGATTATTATTAAAGATTATTATTCACTCGGGCATTGAACACCCACGTTATATATACAGGTGGAATTTCGTAATGCTACCTGAAGGGGAAGTACTTTTAATAATTAAGATGCATAGTCAACACATAACATCACGCCTTTTATCTCCGGGTAGGCAGAGGTGCACATTACGGCACTTAATGCCACTGTACAATGTAACACCCACTCTTCACTATTTATGTTACGAGTCCCATGTAATAGGGGGTGAGCCTATTGCCATATACCGGGCACATTTCCAGACTCCGTGCTACTACTGAGATTTTTAAAAACCCAGTAATACTTTGCCCGGCCCGGGAATCGAACCCGAGACCCCTTGCCGCGCAGTCGCACTTGCAACCTCTCGGCCAACGAGGCAAACTAGTCAAATTCAATACTTTTTTCGAACTGTCAAAAACGACAGTTTTCTATAAATTTTGTACGAGATTGTGTACTGTGACGTCACGTTTTTTAGCGTCAAACAGCAACATACTTATTTCTTAAACATTTGCTTGAAAAATACTAAAATTAAGTTGGTCATAAAATCAATGAATGAAAATGTGATTTTATTAATATTTTATTAATTCAAATTCAAATTCAAATTCTTTTATTGCATATCATGTGTACAATTGGTGTTACATGAGGTACAGTATCAACATGAAACCGGCTAGGGCACGGCAACATATAAAGCAAAATATAATCTAATTGAACTACTATCAATACTTATTATATTATAACATAAGAAATGTTGTTTTCAACATAAACATATTTTTTTTATTTTATTATACCTCTAATATGTATTTACATAAATTTCTTAATAATGTGTAGGTATTATTGTATGTAGTATATGTATATTATTATGAAGTATATGTACATATATTTAATATGATTTTTTATTGAGTCGGTATGCATTGAGTGTTAAGTTTTGCTGGTTTGGTCATCAAAAAACTCATTAAGGGTGTAGTAACATTTTTCAAGGAGGAACCGTTTTAATTTATTTATAAACACGTTATACTTTTCTGCTTCTTTTATGTGTTTCGGTACAGCGTTATATATTTTTATTGACATAACTAAGGTGCCAGGCGAATGCATGTGAAGTCGGGAGCTTGGTAGGTTTAGTCTGGTTTTGTGTCTTAAGTTGTATTCTGTCTTATTGTCACGTGTATTGTAATATTCTGGGCGGTTTCTGACAAATTTACATATTTCCAAGATGTAGGTGCATATCAAGGTACCTAAGTATTTTGTGGTTTCTAAAAACAGGTATATAGGTAGAACAGTCAAAATAATTTATTTTTGATTAAGTATATAAAGTACCTAATTACAGACACTCGTCTTCATACAGAGACTTTAGATTTGTACACAGAGAGTACGAATTAACATTTCACAAAATAGCCTTTTTTTGACGGAGGAAATCATCCAATTGATTCTCCCGCCTGGGTGAGGCGGGTGGGAGTGTCAGACTAAAAACCACCCCGTTCCTACTCCTGCCCTTCGAGCCGGAGCCCCGGTAATCCGGTAAGCCCTCCGCGGCTACAGAATAGCCTATCCGTCATTTTCACGTGATGCGCGCACAAACAACAGATAGACAAATATGATGAGAGGTGTAGTTACCCCCCCCCCTCCCCCTCGTTGCGTAAATAATTATAAAACACTAGCGGACCCGACAGACGTTGTCCTGCATATTCACTTGAATGTATAAACAAAAATTCATTCAAATTAGTTCAGCCGTTTAGGATAAATAACCTAAACATCGACTGCAGCGCCATCTGCCGGGCTGATTTGTGAATCTAAACCATTCCCAGATCCCATTGAACACACACAAAAAATTTCATCAAAATCGGTCCAGTCGTTTGAGAGAAGTTCAGTGACATACACACTCACAGAAGAATCCTTACTAATATTATAAATTGCAAAGTGAGTTTGTGTGTTTGTTTGTTCCGCTTTCACGCCGAAACTACTACACCGATTGCTTTGAATTTTTGCAGACGTAAAGTTAGAAGTCCGGATTAAATAATACTTTTTATCCCGGAAAAATTGATATTCCCGAGGAAAAACAAAAGTATTGGTATAGATGGCGCTGTGTGTATTGGTATATGTCACATAGGCTACTTTTTATCCTTTTGTGACGCGAGCGAAGCTGCGGGTAAAAGCTAGTTATATATATAAAGAATAACAAAGATAAGCCACGAGCAATACTTGGTATCTATAGAAAACACTTTCGTCTGAAGAGCTCTCAACTTTTGATAACAACTAACAAACTATATATAAAGGAAATATCTATCATTTCCTCACACTGCGAGCATATCCAACTTGCCAACATGTCTCTCTTGGCTATTTCTTGTTGCCTCGCTCTTCTAGCGGGTCAAACCTTAGGAGCTGGTTATCACGAGGATGTAGGGATCCCTGAAGCCACCAGGATCCGTTTGAAGGCGGCCCAGCTAGCCAGTGAGAGGATCAGCGGAGGAGCAGCTTCGGAATATGGGGATAACCCATATCTGGTGAGTCATTTTGTTTTCTATTGCCATCCCGAAATAAGCATGTCTTTTTTTTTGGGATAAGCCGGTAAACTAGCAGACGGATCACCTGATGGTAAGCAATCGGCGTCGTCCATGAACACCCGGAACACCAGAGGTGTTATAAGTGCGTTACCGGCGTAATTGGGAATTGGGATTTTTTTTTTTAAAAAGACGTTGCCCCACACTAGGATTTTCTCCTGTGTCGTGGGTGCGTTTACGAACATACAAATTCACATACACATGACACCCAGACCTGGAACAATAATTTGTGGATCATACAAAGTGTTGTTTCGTACGGGAATCGAAGCCGGTTGCCCAGCCACCGCACTGACCGTGCAGTAATTTGAGGATTGTGGGTGGGTCGTTGGTGGTACCACTCCGTTCGAGCCGACCCATTCATAGCGAAGCACTTCCGCGCAGTGTCACCCGCTCTGCTCGTCTCCTATTAATCGTATCATGATGTTTTATAGCCTATAGCCTTCCTCGATAAATGAACTATCCATTACAAGAAGATTTTTTAAAATCGGCCCAGCAGTTTCTGAGATCCGCGCGTTCAAACAAACAAACTCTTCAGTTTTATATAATGGCACCTAAATAAGATGTTACGGTTTCAGGCCGGTATACTAATAACTCTGCGATCTGGTCAGCTGTCTGTCTGCAGCGGGACCTTGGTGACCACTAAGAAAGTGCTGACTGCAGCCCAGTGCTGGTATGATGGATACAACGTCGGCAGGAAAGCTGAGGTAAGCCCGTAATTTTTTTTTCTTTTAAGGGGGGTAAATCGTCGATTGACTGTTCCCGCCTGATTGAGGCGGGAGGGAGTGTCAGACTCTTACTGACTAAAAACCACCCCGTTCCTACTCCTACCCTTCGAGTCGGAGCCCCGGTAACCCGTTAAGTTCTCCGCGGCTCCGTATCGGCATCAGCCCTATTGGGCCCCATCCGTGGTGGTCTGATGGCTCTTTGTAGCGCGCTCGGGTCTGGTTCTGGTCGGGCGGCGAGCTACCTAATTGGAGGATTGTTTGAAAATCGGGACTTCACTCACACGACGAAACAAAACGTAAGTGTTCTTGACAGTTTTCTGCTCGGCCGTGGTATGACTCCGGTCGAGCCGACCCATTCGTGCCGAAGCATGGCTCACACAATTAAACCATATCACACATTACTAATAATTTGTAAAATAACTAAGAACGGCAAGTGCGCTACAACGTTTGATTTGAATTTGCAGCCGTAGTAAAGGTATGTAGTATTTTTCAATCCGGAACAGGACGGGACATGGCCAACACGCAACATTGCGGGACAATCCCAGAAATCCCGGGCATCTGGTAACAATAAATAGTGTCGTGTTAGCGTCAACCACAGACTTACAATAGATAAGCAGATTAGCAGACCGAACATTAACTCCTAGTTATACGTATATGGTATGTCGTGGTGGCCCGGAGGTTTAAGAACGCCCACTTCTCATGCATGAGGGTGCGGGTTCGAAACCTACCAACGGCAAGTACCAATGTGACTTTTTCCGAGTTATATGTACTTTCTAAGATTATTTAGACACCACTGACAAACGGTGAAGGAATAACATCGTGAGGAAACCTGGACTTATAATTTCTAATTATAAGTTTGAAATCGCCAACCCGCATTAAGCAAGCGTGGTGATTAATGCTTAAACCTTCTCCGTGTGAGAAGAGGCTTTGCTCAGCAGTGGGCATTTATAGGCTGTTGATGATGATGATACGTATATGATATATCCATCATTCTTTGTCCTTGTTCTGTCAAGCACATACCTAATAATGACGTCCTCCACACATAGACAAATATTGACATGTAGCCAGATTTTCGCGTGCCGCCATATTGCTATGGTTTTTTGACAACTGTGTCAAGCTAGTTATAAAATAAAATATTAATTGTGAAAATATATTTCATTTTAATGGGACAAGCCCGCCTCCACCTCCCAAAACCGCTGCAACTCCTGTGCACCAGGATCTACAGTAGATACAACCATGAAAACACCGGAACATTGAAGTCCGGCGCGTCTCAGCGTCATAAATAACTGTCTTGGTTCCCGCAACGAAGTGAATCAGAAGATATTATTAGAGGAGAAGGAAAACACGATAGATAATAGAAAATATTATTTGAAAATATTGATTATACAACATGCCTATCTCTATGTAGACATAATAATAATACCCTTTATTTCTAATTTGTGCATGTGTGTTTTTGCCTGTGTGGTCTGCTTATCTATTTTAAGTATACTTATCATGACGCCTTTTATCCCCGAAGGGATAGGCAGAGGTGCACATTATGCCAGTGTACAATGTATCACCCACTTTTCACTATTTATTTTATGAGTCCCATGTAATAGGGGGTGAGCCTGTTGCCATATACCGGGCACAATACCAGACTCCGTACTACTGAGATTTTTTTTAAAAACCCAGTAATACTTTGCCCGGCCCGGGAATCGAACCCGATACCCCTTTTATATGGAATAAAATTTAAAAAAATTACAATGACTTATGTGTTATCCACGAAAAAGTACACCCTGTGCCAGTCTTTTGACTCTTGTTGCTACAATTCTTTATGTTTTCACTATTGTGAATAGTGGGTGTTACATTGTACAGTGGCATTTTTTTTTAAGGGGGGAAAATCCTCGAATGACTGCTCCCGCCTGGGTGAGGCGGAAGGGAGTGTCAGACTCTTACTGACTAAAAACCACCCCGTTCCTTCTCCTGCACGTCGAGCCGGAGCCCCGGTTACCCGTTAGGCATTAAGTGCCGTAATGTGCACCTCTGCCTATCCTTGCGGGGATAAAAGGCGTGCGAAGTTATGTACTATTGTCGTCTTTTATTTGTTCCAGGTGAAGCTTGGGTTGGTGGAACTGTTCAACGCGTTCAGGTGGGATGTATGGAGAGTGAGGATGCACCCCGCGTATGATCCTACCTCATTGCTGAACGACCTGGCCATCATGATACTTGATGGCAACATCTGGCCGAACAGTGAGTACTTAGTCAATTATCCAGCTTAATTCCCAGTTTCCATGTGATATTCTAGAGTAGACATAAACATAACATCACGCCTTTTATCCTCGAAGTGGTAGGCAGAGGTGCACATTATACCACTGTACAATGTAACACCCACTTTTCACTATTTATGTTATGAGTCCCATGTAATAGGGGGTGAACCTATTGCCATATACCGGGCACAGTTCCAGACTCCGTGCTACTACTGAGAATTTAAAAAAAACCCAATAAAACTTTGCCCGACCCGGGAATGAGCCTATGCTCACCCACTATTACATGGGACTCATAACATAAATAGTTGAAAGTGGGTGTTACATTGTACAGTGGTATAATGTGCACCTCTGCCTACCCCTTCGAGGATAAAAGGCGTGATGGCAACTCCTGGAATAAAATAAAAAGTGATGAATGAATGTTTCAAACATGGTGCCCTCGCGGTATATATGCGAAGTTTTATTTAAATCTATCTAGTAGTTTTTGCGTGAAACAGTGTACTGGTAAATATTTCTTTTTTTTTATGGCATAAGCCGGTAAACGAGCAGACGGATCACATGATGGTAAGCAATCGGCGTCGCCCATGGACACCTGGAACACCAGAGGCGTTACAAGTGCGTTACCGGCCTTTTGAGGATTAGGAGTTTGAGGATTGTTGGGGAATTGGGGATTAGGGAGATTGGGCAAGGGGGGAGAGAGCTGGGCCTCCGGTAACTTCACTTACACGACGAAACACAACGCAAGAGTTGCTTCACGTCTGTTTTGTGTGAGGCCGTGAGTGGTATCACTCCGGTCAAGCCGCCCCATTCGTGCCGAAGCATGGCTCTCCCACACTTAAAAATATTAATGGGAACCATTACTACTTTCCCTAAGTAAGAAGGTACTTATGTATCTTTAACAATGTTCTTTAGATAAAATGATGATACCAGCATTTCTCCCGGCCGTGAACGAAACTAATACATACGCTGGCATGGAGGCGCGCGTCTCAGGGTACGGGAAGACAAGTGACTGTGAGTACCTGTAACAACTACTAACAACTGTCGTCTGAGTATCACATCTACATATAATGCATTTATCACATCTTTTTTTTTGATGTCGGGGGGAACCTTCAAACGGCGCCTAGCTTTTTGGGGAGAAAGACTAGGGAGTGTGGGATTCTTACCTCACTAAAACCACCCCGGTGGCCACACTTAGCACCTGTAAGGGGCACCGGGTCCTCTAAAGAGACCTGCTCCGGAGCCCCCACGGTGCAACGCCTGATACAGCACATCCCTAAGGAGACGAGCGTGTCCCTTGATCATCGCTTTGCACGGCAGCACGTGACCACAGTGCTACCGTCTTCGCACATAGAGTCCCCACTCTGTGCACCCGTGACACAAATCACATAATCTATACATCTTTATACATACATGTCCGAGCCGGTCATGAGTACGGACGCTAAACGCCAACGCGCCACCTAGCGGATTTCCGGTGCGCTTAGACAGAGTCGTAGCGTCAGAGTCGGACTCGGCGAAACTCGCTTTTCGCAAGTGCGACGACAAGGGGTTTCGGGTTCGATTCCCGGGTCCGGCAAAGTATTACTAGGTTTTTAAAAATCTCAGTAGTAGCACGGAGCCTGGAAATATGGCAATAGGCTCACCCCCTATTACATGGGACTCATAACATAAATAGTGAAAAGTGGGTGTTACATTGTACAGTGGTATAATGTGCACCGCTGCCTACCCCTTCGGGGATAAAAAGGCGTGATGTTATGTTATGTGACTATCAAAACAGATTTATAAAATTTTAACACATAACATAACATTTTTTAAAAACACAGTAATACTTTGCCCGACCCGGGAATTGAACCCGAGACCCCTTGTCCGGCAGTTGCAATCCGGCAATAATAAAACCGCTACACAAAAAAGGATCAAAGCTCGATAGAAACAATTACAGACCTATTGCACTTACCCCTGTTATATCCAAGGTATTTGAACGGATTATGTACAAAAGAGTCTTAAATTTCTTGGATAAATATGACATTTTAGCAAAGGAACAGTTTGGTTTCAGAAGATGCAGATCTACACAGTTGGCCACCTACACATTAGTAAACAGCATTATTAACAATATTAACAATGGAATTCCCACATCCGCCTTACTATTAGATTTGAGTAAAGCATTTGACTTTGTAGATCATTCTTTACTCCTTTCAAAATTAGCTAATTGTGGAATTAGAGGTTCATCACTGTCATGGTTTCGATCATATTTGCAAAATAGAAAACAGCTTACTAGAATAACTAAATTTGACAAAAAAAGTAATAGCGTAGTAAAATTCGATTCTCAAGCAAGAGTCAACTATTTTGGTGTACCTCAAGGTAGTATTTTGGGGCCTTTGTTATTCCTTATCTTTGTCAATGATCTCCCACGTGCGCTTATACACGATTGTGTCTTATTTGCGGACGACACTACAATTATTTTGGATTGCAAAAATAGGGCTACATATGAAGCTGACATAAATAAAACATTAGATGATGTTATTAGGTGGCTTAGTATCAACAAATTAAAAATAAACATAGAAAAAACTAAAATTATTAATTTTAAAACATTTAAAAGCAAAACTATCGAAATAAATTTAAGTTATAATAATACGCTTATTCAGCAGATTCATAATGCCAAATTTTTGGGTGTAACTCTTGACTCTCATTTCACGTGGAAGGAACATATTAACAACTTATGCAAGAAAATTAACAAGTTTGTCTTTGCACTTCGGAAAATAAAGGACGTAACATCAATTCAAAGTTCCATTATGGTGTATCATGCATATATTTGTTCCATAATACGTTATGGTATCGTCATATGGGGAAACTCCTGTGAAATTACTAGGGTCTTTGTGGCCCAAAAAAAGTGCGTTCGTGCATTGTTTGGCATGGGATGGTCGGATTCTTGCAAACCCGTATTTAAATCTAAAGGACTGTTGACTGTTCCTAGCATTTATATTTACGAAGTGGCTAAGTTTGTGAAATATCATAGTTATTTGTTCGTTGCTAACGATAATGCTAACAGACGCTTGATCACTCAGCTGCCCCTGAAAATGCCCATACCTAAACTGGAGCTTTACAGAAAAAGTTGTGCATATATGGCGCCGCTCATATTTAACTGTCTGCCCCGAGGAATTAGCGAGCTGCCATATAAACCGTTTTGTCGTGCCTTACAAAAGTGGTTGGTTCAGGAGAGTTTTTATTCTACCCGAGATTTCCTAAGTAACAGTAGCTGTCGGTATGCAGCTTTTTAAATCATTGTATCATCGTGCTAATCAGTTGCCTCCATGTTTTTTGACCAAAATTAATTATAAATTGCTAACCTGACTTCCTGATTTGTTGTGACTATTAATTTATTGACTTTTTAGTATATTACAATTTGACTACTGATACATAATGACATCTTAATTTTATGACATCTCTAATTTATTTTCTGACTTTACCTGTTTTAATGTATTTGAATTGTTTCCAATAATAATAATAATAATTTCAATATAATTGTTCATTAATGCGACATAAATTAATATTGTTAATACAATTTTATATTTCTACACCGGTAACGGTAGTATGTGTGGAACTCTGTTAATTTTAAGATCTGTGTGCACCATGTACTGAGAAATAAAGGACATTCATTCATTCATTCATTCATTCATTCATTCATTCATTCATGCACTTGCGACCACTCGGCCAACGAGGCAGTCTAAAATTGTAATATTATAAAATTATAAAATAAAATAATATTATAAAATTTTCTAAACACAAATTACATCTGGGTTCCCGCCAGGCCACAGGCGCCATCTTGTTTTTCTTTATCTCCCGAACCACAGACCACAGCTCTAAACTTTCCCGCCACACGATGACGTTTCTTTATTTCTCTCTATGCCTCCAACAGTATCTTTTTCAACCAGATGACCAGATAAACCCAGAGACGAACCAGCAAGCGTTGACAGTGACAGTGATGAGACCCTGGGAGTGTTACTGGAACATGGCACGTCGCCCAGCAGACTCCAGCAAGATCATGTGCACCCCCGGGAGCGTATTGTGGGGTACTTGCGGCGCTGACCTCGGCGGCCCGCTGGTGATACCCAACTATAATGGCACAGGAAACCATCTGCTGGTACGTTCATATTATTAATCGACGTCAACAAAATGTTCTCAATTATCCTTTATGTATGTTTACCTGCGAATATCACGCATTGGCTGAACTAATTTTGATAGTTTTCAGAAAAATGTAGGTTTGTTGACTTAGGAGCATGTTTTAATATATTAACCGACTTGAACAAAGTCGTTAAATGTCACCTATCTTAGCTTAGAGGCCCACCTCAGGGTTCAACCTAGAGGGCGCCCTAGGCACGCATCTCATAGGTGCACTTTATTTCTATAGGTGTCGCCACTCTATGGGCAGTTGTGCACGCACGTTTCGTGGCGCCCTCTGTATCCTGGCGCCTGGCAGTTGCCTAGTTTGTCCTAGACATAGTACGACTCTGACGTCATCACAAATCCCCTGAACATCTTTTATTTTGCAGATTGGAGTGACATCAATTCAGTCTCCGTTTGGTTGCACGTCAGCGTTCGCGACCGGTTACACCCGCGTCACTGAATACGTCAGCTGGATACAACAGAACTTGTAAACTGATCATATCACTACAGTCTGGATTTTAAGCCTACTGCTTCAATCTTGCGTCATTTCTATCAATTCGGTAGTTTCTACAATAAAAAATAAATAACTTTGATATTTCAACATAATAAAATATTGCGAAATAATTAAACTTTTGTTAGTTGATGAGTTTATTTTGTATTTAAATCATTTATTTCAATTAGACCATGAAGGCACTTTTGAACGTCAAAACAAAATATTTAAATATTAAATAATAAGAAAAAATGACAGTCTGTAGGTCAGTCCTCTAGTGAAGCTATTTGCTCGTTCCAAAGTGTAGATTCCTATGTAGAAGAACGAGCAAGCTATGGAGAAGAACGAGCAAGTATCTACTTTTTTGTTTTTATTAAGAAGATAGAATACAATTCGACGCTAAAACATTATGACGATGACGTCATTTAGTTGTAAACAAAATTCATACGAAACTCATTTTTGACATTTCAGAAAAAAGTACATATTGTATTTAAGTATTTAGTTGTAAACTTGGAAACTACCTTATTGTAGATTACATTGTGTGAGACTTCTAGGTATAACGTATAGTTTAGTATTAATAGACCTGGCTTTGTATAAAGAACACGAAACTATATCTGTATAGGAACATTTTCGATCTTCCATAGGTATGGTAGGTATCCATTTTGCAATAATATGGCCGACGAACTGTCAAACTCATATTTTTTTATTCGAAATTACGTTTAATTTCTTTTTGTTTTATTTCAAGTAAACTAATGTAATAAAATTAAGAAACTTAATAAAATTACAATTATTAATCAACGAATCATAATAAATTATTTCATTAAGTAAAACCTGTAGTTTATCTAATTATCTGTATTAAATATAATACAATCTGGATTAAATGGACTAAAATAGTATAGTTTCTTATTTGGTTCAATCAGAAAAAAAAATTACGTGATATTTGCCGAGACCCCCCCTTTCTTCTACGTAAGATTTGATGAGATTTGAGTCTACACCCTCTCCCCTTAGAATCTCACGTAATTTATGGACGCCACCTTACGTATCAGTGCCGACACATGTAGGTACCCACGCCGTAATCAACGCCGTGTCACGAGCCTCAGATCTGCTGAATCAGGACATTACACCTACTTTGATGCAACGAAGGTTCTACGGAGTATTGTAACATCCGAACTGCTGAGTCGTCTCCTCTTGTCGCCGCCTTGTGCCCAGCTACGAATCGCTATCACTGCATCATCGATTACCCCACTAGATTTAGTCTGCCTGCCCATTGAGGCAGAGTGAGGCTGCGGTGCGGAACCAGCGAGTATTGCTGAGCGGAGAAATGGACTGTCAAACTTCAGCGGTATACTATACTATCCCAATATGATCAATATCCTATACCCCCGCCCCGCTCCCGAGACCGCTTTCCCGCCGCCGGCTCATTCGGCTTCCCGCTTCGCCGTCTCGCACCGCTACCACGCACCGCTTCCGAAAATATATGCATTTTTAAACTAGCTCGCAAATCCCTTTCCACTAAAGCGGAGCGGAGATTTCATGCAATCCTATTGGTTAAACTTACTGTCAAACACCGCGAGGACACCGGCGACCGCAACCTATTGTTCTTTAACCCTTTGAGTACCGTCATTATAGACACAATTAAAGAACAATAGACTGCCTCGTTGGCCGAGTGGTCGCAAGTGCGACTGCCGGGCAAGGGGTCTCGGGTTCGATTCCCGGGTCGGGCAAAGTATTACTGGGTTTTTAAAAAATTCTTAGTAATAGCACGGAGTCTGGAATTGTGCCCGGTATATGGCAATAGGCTCACCCCCTATTACATGGACTCATAACATAAATAGTGAAAAGTGGGTGTTACATTGTACAGTGGTATAATGTGCACCTCTGCCTACCCCTTCGGGGATAAAAGGCGTGACGTTATATGTATGTAAAGAACAATAGGTTGCGGTCACCGGTGTCCTCGCGGTGTTTGACAGTTTGTGTCTATAATGACGGTACTCAAAGGGTATTTCTTCGTTTCTCCACTCCGCTGCCCTTTTCCGCGTCAATGGACAGGAAGACTTAACCTCAATAAAACCTTCATACGAAAAAAAATTATGTTATGAAAGCAGTGTTGTTCCAGCTCCGAAAGCATTCGCACATCCGCACTTAGGTTAGTCAGATTTTAGGAGTTATCATGCAATTATAATAAACTTAGTAAAATGATTACAGTTTCCATTTGCACTCTCCGTCAGGGGCAGAAACATAACTTTCTTTTTTTTGTAGTATAAGCCGGTAAACGAGCAGACGGATCACCTGATAGTAAGCAATCGGCGCCGCCCATGGACACCCGAAACACTAAGGCCTTTCAAGTGCGTTACCGGCCTTTTGGGAATTGGGAATTTGAGAATTGTGGAGGATTCGGGGATTCGGGAGACTAGGGAAAGGGGTAATTGGACGTCCGGTAACCTCACTCACACGACGACGTTTTGACGTACAAAAGTGCCTTCTTACGACCTAAATCTGACAACGGTGAAAGGGGAAATAGAGACTTACAGCAAGAACTACCAAATAAGACTTGACCAACATATAAATCAGCTTGCCGCAGAACTGCAGGGGGTGGGCAGTCTAAGATACTCTTGTCTTTAAGGTTATTTTCTTTTTCGGTCACTTTGACTAGATTTTAGTGTTACATGGTTCTCGCACAATCCAAACAGCAAACTATGTAACTAGAGAATTGTATTGTGAACCTGATTGAAAAAGAGTAACCTATGGAGTTTCTTGCTCGTTCTTCTCCATAGGAATCTACACCTTGGAATGAGCAAATAGCTTCACTTTTAATTTTATTATTGACGTTCAAAAGTGCCTTTCTGGTCTAATTGAAATAAATGATTTTGACTTTGACTTTGACTCTCGCCTAAAAAGGAACAGTATACCAGACCTAGCAACAAGATTTGCCGACAAAAGATGAGAATGGTACCACTGGGGACACATCTCAGCTAATCCACTTCCACTGATGTAAATCTGACATCAAATTAGATTATTGTTTCTGTAGAAACAGATTGCTAAGAAAAAAAAAACAAAAAAAAATTGCGAGCGAAGCAGATAAATAAATAAAATACAGGTTTTACTTAATGAAATAATTTATTATGATTCGTCGATTAATAATTGTAGTTTTATTAAGTTTCCTAATTTTATTACATTACTTTACTTAAAATAAAACAAAAACAAATTAAACGTAATTTCGAATAAAAAAAATATGAGTTTGACAGTTCGTCGGCCATATTGCAAAATGGATACCTATGGAAGATTGAAAATGTTCCTATACAAATATAGTTTCTCGTCCTCTATACAAAGCCAGGTCTATTAATACTAAACTATAGGTTGTACCTAGAAGTCTCACACAATGTAATCTACAATAAGGTAGTTTCCAAGTTTACTACTAAATAGTCAAATACAATAATTATGTACTTTTTTCTGAAATGTCAAAAATGAGTTTCGTATGAATTTTGTTTACAACTAAATGACGTCATCGTCATAATGTTTTAGCGTCAGATTGTATTCTATTTTTCTTAATAAAAACAAAAAAGTATAAAACTCATCAATTAATGAAAGTTTGACTATTTTTCAATAAGTATTTTATTATGTATAACTAGAAATATCAAAGTTATTTATTTTTGATTGTAGAAAAGCTACCAAATTGATAGAAATGGCGCAATGTTGAAGCAGTAGGTTTAATATCCAGACTGTGGTGTTATGACCGGTTTACAAGTTCTGTTGTATCCAGCTGACGTATTCAGTGACGCGGGTGTAACCGGTCGCGAACGCTGACGTGCAACCAAACGGAGACTGAATTGATGTCACTCCAATCTGCGAAATAAGAGATGTTCAGGGGATTTGTGATGACGTCAGAGCCGTACTATGTCTAGGATCAACTAGGCAACTGCCAGGCGCCAGGATACAGAGGGCGCCACGAGACGTGCGTGCACAACTGCCCATAGAGTGGCGACACCAATAGAAATTAAGTGCGCCTATGAGATGCGTGCCTAGGGCGCCCTCTCTGGGTTGAACCCTGAGGTGGGCCTCTAAGCTAAGATAGGTGACATTTAACGACTTTTTTCAAGTCAAATAATATAAAAAATATGCTTCTAAGTTAACAAACCAACGCTTTTCTGAAAACTATCAAAATGAGTTCAGCCAATGCGTGATATTCGCAGGTAAACATATATAAAGGATAACTTTTGTTGACTGCACGATCGGTGCGGTGGCTGGGCAACTGGCTGCCGCGCAACGTGTCGCGGGTTCGATTCCCGCACGGAATAACTGTTTGTGTAATCCACAAATTGTTGTTTAGAGTCTGGGTGTCATGTGTGGGTGTCACGTACCCACGAGACAGGAGAAAATCCTAGTGTGGGAGAACATTTTGTTGACGTCGATTAAAACTATGAACGTACCAGCAGATGGTTTCCTGTGCCATTAAAGTTGGGTATCACCAGCGGGCCGCCGAGGTCAGCGCCGCAAGTACCCCACAATACGCTCCCGGGGGTGCACATGATCTTGCTGGAGTCTGCTGGGCGACGTGCCATGTTCCAGTAACACTCCCAGGGTCTCATCACTGTCACTGTCAACGCTTGCTGGTTCGTCTCCGGGTTGAACTCGTCATCTGTTGCAGAAAACATAAATTAAATTAGAATATACTAGCTTTTACCCGCGGCTTCGCTCGCGTCACAAAAGGATAAAAGTAGCCTGTGACGTAATAACATACCAATACACACAGCGCCATCTATACCAATACTTTTGTTTTACCTCGGTAATATCACATTTTTTCCGGGATAAAAAGTATCCTATTATTTAATCCAGACTACTAACTTCACGTCTGCAAAAATTCAAAGCAATCGGTTTTGTAGTTACGGCGTGAAAGTGGAATAAACACGTGGAGGAGGGAGTGTCAGACTCTTACTGACTAAAAACCACTCCGTTCCTTCTCCTGCACGTCGAGTCGGAGCCTCGGTTACCCGTTAGGGTCTCCGCGACACTTATACAGGTAATATAGAACAATAATGGTAATTCGATTCGAAACACTAACGGAGAAACCTAATAATAACATAACTTAGTAATAGATAACCTACTCAAACATACAAATCTTGAGTTTTAACTATATTTAAAAAAGTATAGATGTTATTACAGGTACTTACAATCACTTGTCTTCCCGTACCCTGAGACGCGCGCCTCCAGACCATCGTATTTGTTCGTTTCGTTCACGGCCGGGATAAATGCAGGACTCAGATAACCTAAACAATATAATCAAGGTCAGTTTACTAGTCGCAAGTGCCACTGCCGGGCAAAGGAGCTCGGGTTCGATTCTCGGGTCAAGCAAAGTACCTATTACAGGGCTTATTAAAAAAAGTATCTCAGTAGATAGTAGTACGGAGTCTGGAAATGTGTCCGGTATATGGCAATAGGGTCAACCCTTATTAGATGGGACTCATAACATAAATAGTGAAAAATGGGTGGGGTAAACGAGCAGACGGATCACTTGACGGCAAAGCAATCAGCGTCGCCCATAGACACCTGGAACACCAGAGGCGTTACAAGTGCGTTACCGGCCTTTTGGGAATTAGGAATTTGAGGATCGTTGAGAATTCAGGAATTGGGGAGATTCGGGAAGGGGAGGGTAATTGGGTCTCCGGTAACATCACTCACACGACGAAACACAACGCAAGCGTTGCTTCACGTCGGTTTTCTGCTCGTTGGTGGTATCACTCCGGTCGAGCCGGCCCAGCAGTGCCGAAGCATGGCTCTCCCATACTTAATTAATTGGAAATACGGTATAGACTACTTACTGCCTGTCCAGGTGGAGGATCGTAGAGTCATCATAGCGAGATCGTTATACAGAGTGCTAGGTTTGTACCCGGAGTGCACAACCACTCCTAAGACATCCCTCTTGTAACTACTGAACAGCTGCAGTGAACCTAACACCACCTGCAATAAGAGTCAATTTTAAACGATTTTATTACGAGCTCAGCCCGTTTATTGATTCGGGTCTTTAGTAATTGCAATGTCACCCCCTTCCTAATGACAGATCGATGCACACTCTTAATCTTGATGACCATCCTTACTTCCTTACTTATATTATAAATCGAAAAGTGAGTTTGTTTGTTTGTTCCACTTTAACGCCGTAACTACTAAACCGATTGTTTTGAATTTTTGCAGACGTAAAGTTAGAAGTCTGGATTAAATAATAGGGTACTTTTTATCCCGGAAAAATTTGGTATTCCCGAGGGAAAACAAAAGTATTGATATAGATGGCGCTGTGTGTATTGGTATATGTCACATAGGCTACTTTTTATTCTTTTGTGACGCGAGCGAAGCCGCGGGTAAAAGCTAGTACAATATAAGTAATTAATTTTTAATGACACTTCAGGTGATCGAAGGGCTGGCAAAGGTTAAGCATTGCCATTCAACGTGGCAATGCTGCCAGTCTTTTGGGCACCCTACCTCACGGTAGCGATGAGGAAAGTGTTTTCTTTGATGCCCTATGAATTATTTTTTTTTTTTTTTAAGGTGTAAATATTTTAGTTTTATTTTTTTTTTTATTTTAAGTTGTATAGGTATATTAATAGTCGCAAAGTAGTATTATGTTAATCATAAATCTGTATAAAAATGGATTCATTTTTTTCCATGTGTAGGTATCAAACGAAAACGCTTGATTAATAGAATAGAGCTCGTTGAACTTCAGATTTTTTTGGGATAAGCCCGCTACAGCCTCCCACTGCAACTCGTGTAAGCCAGGAGTCAGAATATACAGTAAATACAATCATGAAAACACCGGAACACTGAAGTCCGGCGCGTCCCAGGGACATGAGTAACTGTCTTGGTTCTCGCAATGAAGTGAATCAGAAGATATTATAAGAGGAGAGGAAAAAAACGATAGTTTCCACTTCCCTCAGTGAATTTCTGCAGGAGACATAATGAATTAAGCCTAAAGGCACAAAAAAGAGACTGTACAACTGGGTGATGCCCAGTCGCCAAGCACCACGGAAGTTTGATTAAAAACTAAGTGGGTCCTATGTGTGAGCTGTTATACTTACTTTCAATAATAGGTATGGCAAAAACGCCTAAACACACGGACAGTTCTAGATTCCACAAGGTCCGTAAAATATATATATTCCTCCGAAGTTCATATTTCTTTGTTTGAAATCGTCCAAGCGCATTGAGCAAACGTGGTGATCAATGCTCAAACCTTCTCCGTGTGAGAAGAGGCATAGCTCAGCAGTAGACACTTATAGCACAGAGTACATATTTTTTGATAGCACAAGCCGGTAAACTAGGAGACGGATCACCTGATGGTAAGCAATCGGCGCCGCCCATGGATACTCGAAACACCAAGGCTTTACAAGTGCTTTACCGGCCTTCTGGGAATTGGGAATTTGAGAATTCTGGAGGATTCGGGGATTCGGGAGACGGGGACTAGGGAGGGGGGTAATTGAGCCTCCGGTAACCTCACTCACACGACGAAATACAACGCAAGCGTTGCTTCACGTCGGTTTTTTGTGAGGCCGTGGTATCACTCCGGTCGAGCCGGCCCATTCGTGCCGAAGCATGGCTCTCCCACACGTATGCGCTGTTGATGACAATCTTACCTCAGCTTTCCTGCCGACGTTGTACCCGTCATACCAGCACTGGGCTGCAGTCAGCACTTTCTTAGTAGTCACCAAGGTCCCGCTGCAGACAGACAGCTGACCAGATCGCAGAGTTATCAGTATACCGGCCTGAAACCAATTAATGTTAGGTTGTACGTAAATAAGCATAATATAACATCACGCCTTTTATCCCCGAAGGGGTAGGCAAAGGTGCACATTATGCCACTGTACAATGTAACACCCACTATTCACTATTTATGTTATGAGTTCCATGTAATAAGGGGTGAGCCTATTGCCATATACCGGGCACAATTCCAGCCTCCGTGCTACTACTGAGAATTTTTTAAAATGAATAAGTTAAAGATTGGTTTGGTTGTTTAAATCCGCTCAGAACGCTTCAGACGCCGTGCTTCTATTACTGAAACATTTTCAATAAACCGAAATAGACATAAAAATACTTTGCGTGACCTAGGAATCGAACAGGAGGCTTTTTTGACAGGAGTTACACTTGCCAGCTTGACATCCAACACGTTGGCTAGTAGCTGGTAGAAGTCTTTAAATCGGTGACCTAACCGCGATTCCCTAACCAATGATCAAGAATAGTGATTAATTAGTAAACCTAAGTTTGTTCTTTATTGAATAGGACTGCGGAAAACCAAAAGAATAACGTCTGCTTCGGCTCTATGCAGGAGAAGGAACGGGGTGGTGTTTAGTCAGTAAGAGTCTGACACTCCCTCCCGTCTCACCCAGGCGGGAGAAGTTATTTGACGACTCCCCCCGCACCCACATGTTGTCATCAATCAGAAAATACTTATGGGATTTTTTTAATAGCGACAAGCCCGCCACAATCTCCCAAAACCGCTGCAACTCCTGTAAGCCAGGATCTACAGTAGATACAACTATGAAAACACCGGAACACTGAAGTCCGGCGCGTCCCAGGGACATGAGTAACTGTCTTGGTTCCCGCAACGAAGTGAATCAGAAGATATTATAAGAGGGGAAGAAGAAAAACTATACTATCCACTTCACTCGGTGAATTACTGCAGGAGACAGAATGAACTAAGCCTAAAAAACTGATGAAATATAAAAATCCTCACCAGATATGGGTTATCACCATAAGCGGAAGTTTCTCCTCCACTGATCCTCTCACTGGCTTTCTGGGCCTCCTTCAAGCGGATCCTGGTGGCTTCAGGGATCCCTACATCCTCGTGATAACCAGCTCCTAAGGTTTGACCCGCTAGAAGAGCGAGGCAACAAGAAATAGCCAAGAGAGACATGTTAGTAAGTTAGGGAGAAACTGTCTAACTTGCAGTGTGAAGAAAGTGTAGGATTTCAGTTTATATATACTAGTTTGTTATTGTTAAGAGCTCTTCAATTAAAGTGCTTTGACAATTATTATTTAACTAGCTTCTGCTCGCGGCTTTACATGCTTTAATTACATAACATTACATCCCGCCTTTTATCGGTGCCATAAGCTCATATCATAATGATATAACTGTCCACAAAATTGTGAATTAGGTACCTATTAAGGTTTTAATGAATAATTTTGTATGGAACTTATGGCACCGACTTCTTATCTATCAGTGGGTGGGTAACCTATCAGTACTAATAATAGTTATTTTTTGCTTTTTAGTATTGACTTTTTGTTTGTTATTAGTTTTTGGTTTTTGAAGTCGGTTTTTAAACGCAGTTTTTACTTTATTATTTTACCATTTTCACTATTGTTATGTACGAATCAAAGTTTAGGAGTCGGGGCTAAAACGTCATTTCTACGTATAAAATGTAAGTATATAGAAGTGACGTCACGCGACATTTCAAATCAATATATCGTCGAAAGTATTCGTTTCTGTAAGAAAATAAAAAATACGTGTCTAATGATTTAAAGTATTCTACCAGACGGACATTAAAATAAAAATTAAGCATCTACCCTATTATAATATTCAAGCACATAGGTATCTTGATACACTCGACAAGTGCCTCCTTTACTTATAAAATGGTACTTTAGACAAGGAAGGGACATTACTTTTATTTATAGAAATTATCATAAAATCGTCCCGGAAAAATACCCCGAATCAAACAAAGTACCCTCTTTTTTTAGGGGGGAAAATCATCGAATGACTTCTCCCGCCTGGGTGAGGCAAGAGGGAGTGTCAGACTCTTACTGACTAAAAACCACCCCGTTCCTTCTCCTGCACGTCGAGCCGGAGCCCCGGTAACCCGTTAAGTTCTTCGCGACTCCGTATCGGCATCAGCCCTATTGGGCCCCATCCGTGGTGGTCTGATGGCTCTTTGAGTGATTCCACTCGGAATATTTCTTTATGCGATCCACGAATTGTTGTTCCAGGTCTGGCTGTATTTGTAACGGGTAACCGGGGCTCCGGCTCCACCTGCAGGAGAAGGAACGGGGTGGTATTAAGTCAGTAAGAGTCTGACACTCCCTCTCGCCACACCCAGGTGGGGGCAGCCATTAGATGATTTTCCGCCCTCAAAAAAAAGTCTGGGTGTATTTAAGTTTTTTCTCGCCAGAGGCGTTACAAGTGCGTTGCCGACCTTTATGAGTTTAACCTTTTGAGCGCCGATGTCACATATAAGTGACAAGTGAAAACTGTCCCTGGACGCCAACGACACAAATATATGACAGAAAAAGCGGAACCGGAAACACGAAATCAACAATTTGATTCCCTATTGGAATCCCTATTTCTTCCGTAGAAATTTGCGCGGAATTTGTGGCTTGGCGTTGAGGGCAGGTTCATGTGTTTTTGCTCTGGCGTTCAAAAGGTTATGGATTTTTGGGAATGCTTCACGTCGGTTTTCTGCTCGTTGGTGGTTTCACTCCGATCGAGCTGGCCCATTCGTGCCGAAGCATGGCACGCTTGCGTTGTGTTTCGTCGTGTGAGTGAGGTTACCGGAGGCCCAATTACCCCACTCCCTAGTCTCCGTCTCCCGGATCCCCGAATCCTCCACAATCCTCAAACTCCCAATCCCCAAAAGGCCGGTAACGCACTTGTAACGCCTTGGTGTTTCGAGTGTCCATGGGCGACGCCGATTGTTTACCTTCAGGTGATCCGTCTGCTCGTTTACCGACATATACTATAAAAAATAAAAAACACTTTCGCCAGCAGTGGACGTATTTCGGCTGTTGATGTTGGGTGATTGGGGAGATCCATATTCCCAAGAAAAGATATACCTAATTTGACTCAAGGAGTCGCGGAGAACCTAACGGGTTACCGGGACGACTCGACGTGCAGGAGAAGGAACGGGGTGGTTTTTAGTCAGTAAGAGTTTGACACTCCCTCCCGCCTCACCCAGGCGGTAGAAGTCATTCGATGATTTTTCCCCCCTTAAAAAGAAAAAAAAACAAAATTTAACTCAAGGAAAATAGATTTGGCCAATTAAGTTCAACCACTTGATTAAGTAATCATAAGTAGGTACCTACAATTAGTACATTTAATTGTTTACTTAGAATTTGAAATAAGTGTTCAAGTGAATTGTTTATGTCCATTAACGACAATATGACGTTCAGTACTTGAATGTAGATTATATAAACATCACTTTGGTCCTATGCTATGTTTGTCAGCTGCGGCGTCGGTAGCGGATTAAGTAGCGTATCAGAAAAATGAAAGGCACCAATATTAGTCAATGCCCTTTGGTATACAGGCACTAGGCAGGGTATGGGCCCATTTAGGTGGTATGATACCAGATTAAATGCTCCCATGGAATAAAAGCAAAGCCGCGGGTAAAAGCTAGTAAAGAAATAAAACAACTGTTTTAATATTGTATTTATTTATTACAATAGCTTAGAATTACAGGAGCGAAGTCAATCGACTTATTGGACGACAATACATACATACTTTATTATTATATCATTTTAAAAACATAGGCTGTTACTCGGCAATCAAAATAAGACCTTATTTAAATAGCAATAAAGCGCTATTTCATTTGGGGAGAGCACTGTGAACTGAAATTGTTGTTTCCTATTTATTCCTATATGTCATTTCCTAGTTATCTGATATTACAAATACCAGCAACCAATGTGTACCAGTTTACCACAATCTTACTTCTTGCTGACATTATAAATGCGATTTGTTGGTTCGTGTGTGTGTTTGGTACTCAACCATGTCTACACGGGTGAAGGGATCGGGATGGAATTTGGAACCGGGATAGATTATATTCTGGAACATCAGGCTACATTTTATTTTACGGGTGAAGTCGCGGGCAGAAGCTAGTTCTTTAATGCATTTTCAAAATAAAATAACTACCTTTAAACACCCGACTTTGATCTTATTTTTTAAGTCTGTTAATGAATATACTAAAACCTACTCTTTTTTATGGAATAGGAGGCAAACGAGCAGTCGGATCACCTGATGGTAAGCGATCAGCGCCGCCCATGGACACCAGAGGGGTCACAGATGCTTTGCCAGCCTTTTAACAAGTAATACTCAAGTCTTACTTTCTGAGACTATCTAGACACCACTGACAAACGGTGAAGGAAAACATCGTGAGGAAACCTGGGCTTATAATTTCTAATTGTAAGTTTGAAATCGCCAACCCGCATTGAGCAAGCGTGGTGGTTAATGCTCAAACCTTCTCCGTGTGAGAAGAGGCTTTGGTCAGCAGTGGGTATTTATAGGCTGTCGATGTGTGTTCTACCGATATATTCAAGCAACATCAGCGTCGATCAGTTCATTGCAAGTATTATTACGTAAAGAAACATTTAATTCCTCACTTGTATGAAAGTAAGACTAGTGGTGGACCTTGACTTGGCCTGTCCCCGTATACAACCGAGCTTGTTTGACAGTAGTATACGTTTGCATCTGTGCGCAGCTCCGCGGGACAGTGACGTAGCTTCATACGAACTACACCTTGGAATGAGCAAATAGCTTCACTTTTAATTTCTTTGTTGACCTTCAAAAGTGTCTTCCTACTCTAATATTGAAATACATGATTTTGACGTTGACTTGTGTAGCAGGACAGTCAAACAGACTAACAAATCCTTACTATTATAAATTGGAAAGTGAGTTTGTTTGTTTGTTCCGCTTTCACGCCGTAACTACTAAACCGATTGCTTTGATTTTTTGCAGACGTAAAGTTAGAAGTCCGGATTAAATAATAGGGTACTTATTATCCCGGAAAAATTTGATATTCCCGGGGGAAAACAAAATAATTGGTATAGATGGCGCTGTGTGTATTGGTACAAGCCACATAGGCTACTTTTTATTCTTTTGTGACGCGAGCGAAGCCGCGGGTAAAAGCTAGTATTGAAATAAATGATTTTGACTTTGACTTGGACAGTCAAACAGACTGACAAGTAATTGATATAATGTATCGTAATATACTTCTGCCCGCTGCTTCGCCTGGGATAGAAAGTAGCCAATGTGTTCTGTTCCAAGTATCACCCCGATCCCTCCAGTCGCTGTGACGTCACAGAGTAACAAACATACAGATACACTGTCGCATTCATTATATCAGTAGGAATGATATACTGGTACTCCTAAAGACTAAATGCAACAATCTTTACACAAAACACAGAATCTCGCTTTTTTCAAACTCGGTTAGTAAACACAACGCATTATATACTCTAAAGGAGTAGACAGAGGTCGACACATACAATGTAACACCCACTTTTCACTATTTATGTTACGAGTCCCATGTAATAGGGGGCGAGTATATTGTCATACACCAAACTGATTTAAAATAATTTTTCTGACGGAATCGAGCCCTATATCTCTTGATCTACAGTCGAACTAGCGACCACTGGACATAAGATTACATTAATTATAGATAATTTAAATCTAATGACTTTAAAACGAAGAGTTTGCGCGAGACACTAAAACTGGTCACTGTAACTACTCCTGCGGTGTTTCAGCCACTCTGCCCGGCTCCTATTGGTCGCAGCGCGATGTTTTACAGCCTTCCTCGGTGATTGGACTATCCGACACAAATAGGGCAGTCGTCAGGATGAACATTATAAATGTAATTAGTCCGTCAGTTAGATAATGGAAACATATTAGACACGTATTTGTTTATTTGCTCGTATAAAGTTGCAATACTTAGATAAAATGGCGTCAAGTTTAGGAGTGGGAGGTCGTGACGTCACACTATATGTTACATTTACAAATATATCGTCGAAAGTATTTAGTTTTATGAGAAAAGAATAAATACGCGTCTGTACTACTGGCTCAATTGAATAATAGGGTATTACTCAATTCGAACGAGCAGTTTCGGAGATACGTGCGTTCAAACGAATTATGTTTGTGTTGTATAGTCCAAGTATCGA